TTATCTAGACCCACCTCTCCTGCTGGGTTTTGTATTGCTACACTCGCTTATGTGCTCTGATAAGTTTTTTAAAGAAAGTGCCAGTGAGTGAAGGACAAAAACTTTTCCTATATAATTTTCATGAACTGTCCCAAATGATCCCTAAAAAAATAGGTAGATGGTAAAATGTCCAACATAGACCTCAACCCTTGCTAATCACGCGGACGCTCACAATTCGTGGGATTGTTGTGTGCAGGCGACTACACTCTCCGCATTTCAGATGTGATAGTTAGGCGAATAGAAACTTTACAATAATAATCAAATGAGAAATAAAGTTTGAGAAAAAGAAGAAGAAGAAAAGATAAAGCTATTCTTCTTAGTAAAATCTTCTAATGGCACATTTAAAATCCTTCGTTTCGTTCAATATTTCCCAATAAACGTTAATACCTCCTATTTTTGGAAACTTGCGCATTTTACCATTAGTTTTAAATATGAAATACTTGACGCTAGTTGAACTTCTGCTCTCCCCATTCTTGCAAAAGATTGCAAAGACAGACAGCCAAATCAGAGCTATATCAAATTTCATTAACAAACAAATCAAGTACAAAGTCCAAGGTTTTCTCCGGAAAGAAGGCACTATTTATCGCATGCAAAATGATTTAAGTCGCGATAGGAGTCAGACATTCAAAGATAAGATGACTGTCACACCGATTACTCGGGTAATATCGGCCTTTAACGTCACAGTATCCCATCATAGAGAGGTAGGTTTTACAGATAATGATGTATGCTGATGCTGGTATCTAGATTAAACCAAAATGAGAGATATAAAATACTAAAGGTATAAAATTAAATTGAGATCTGAGTTGCGCGCACAACTCTACAAAAACTTGTTTCAACACTTCTCAAGTGCTACATGTTTAATTCAAGAAAGAATGCATGGATACAAATCCTTCGAAAATATTGAAGTTCCGAGCTCAGCTTACTCGATGTAAAGAGCGTTTCACCTGTATTTCTATGTGTATAAGTTATATCTTTGAGAAACCTCCAAGTGCATTGCGATTGACTCATTGGAAAAACTGTTACATCTTATGAGGTCGAGTGACTTTGACACGGACGAAGACTTCAAAACATCAAGAATTTTGAACTAATCATGTATTGAAAGCCGAAAATGAAACTAAATACATTAACTCACATAGAATTGAGATGGGTAAAGCGGAGGAGTGTAACTTACTGACTGGAAACTTCACACATACGTACAAAACATAGCACTGGAAACAGTGAATGTGAACAATCCATATCAAATGAATGACGAACAACTTCAAAACGGGTTCAACGCAGAGTGCCCTGTTCCATCGTGATTTATAGGACACTGTAGTGACGAAAGTGTGTAATTAATCACACAGAAGGATTGGTGTTTACAGTAGGTATTATGCTGACTGTATTTCGAGGTTTTTCATGTGCCATCATTGTGAAATAATTATTTAAGTGATTGTGCGCGCTTGTTACCCTTCGAATTGCTTCTGAATCCTCGTATGCATCCTAGTAAGAAAAGGACTTTTTTCCGCCTATGATCCATCTCATTTTTTTGATTTTGATGTCAAATTATACATGGCAGTTTTATGTGTAACAATCACTTGCAGTTTTATCTCGTTTCTTTCTCTTCAAACTTTATCTAGTCATGGAACAGTACAACACTAAAAGTGCAGGTGAGTTCCCAATTTTTATTA